TGTATTTAAATCAACAACGTGTATATACAAAAATACAATAATCACTTTATTGTTTTTTGATATAATTATACTTGATAGACGATAGTTGATACATTGTAACTGTATAGCACAGTTTATAATTTTATATATTATAGAACACAACTTAATACTTATACCTTCATCCCGATGCATATCGCATTTCAGTTGTTTGATGGGGACACAGATGGTGTCACGACTTCTTTATTTCAAATACCAATAACTAAATAGTATATAAAAGTATTAGGATTGTTTTATAAAAATATAATTCAGCATTTACCTTTAGCCTACCATAATATGATATCATTATTCATTGATGTCAAATTAATCAAATAGTTCATTACTTTTTCGTGTGGGTAACTATAAGTACTATGTTTTGAGTACTATTTTTATTTAGCTAAAAGTTAGTTAAATACTGATTATATTTGATTTTAAACTCGTAAATTGTACATAGAAACCAAGAAGTTGCAGTGAAGTTGAGAGATACACTGTTTTGAAATATTTTATTTTCTAATATGTTTCAAAAATTCAGGATTCTATTTTATTCTATAATTGATTGAACTATCTTACATCTCTTTAATCTTTATCAAATACAAATTTCATTTTCTTCATATAATCTTTTAAAAACATAAAATATTTTGTTAAAAACATGTTTTTCGCAAGGAAAAATTATACAGAAATTATCTTACTACCTATAGTTAAATTTAAAAAAGTTAAAGTTTCTCTTATTAAAATTTAAAAAATCTTCTAGTACAATTAATACATTTTATATCATAAATAATTTCATTTCCATGTTTAAAATAAATCATAGTGTAACTAATCTTTTAGTTAAAATAAAATAAAAATAGAAATTATATACCTTTCTAAAATCCATGCACTCGTCTTGTAAATAATACAGGTATTTTTTACGCAAAAGTTTCATTTTAAAAAACCTCAAGAACTTTCCATGAAATATAAGTCTATTTAGATAATGAAGTAAGTAGTGGTTCATTAGATTATTTATTGTTCAACACTCGTCACCGCGCATCAATCACTCTCGACAGAAATAAATAATGATGTGTTTTGTTTGTTTTTAAAGAAAAAATATTTTTCGAGAGAAAATTTCGAAAATAATTTATAAGGCATCCCTATATAACAATACACGTTGATGAATCGTGTACCCTAAACCAACAATATTATAGCATATAGGTATGAGATTTAATCTATTGAAAAATGTATTATAAGATAGCTGTTTAATAATAAGCAATATATAATACTATATACCCGTAGATAAACACAAGATATTCAACGTAAAATGTGCGCGAAATACAAAAATTGAAAGTTTAACTTCGTAATCATACTTTTAAAGACTATTCCATCATATAGCTGTCACATCCTCACAAGACTTTTTTTTAACAATTGCTGCAGGTGTCTATCATGTTACACATTTTAAGCTTCAGAAAATCTGAAATTGCTTCTCCTGAATAATAATCTACAAACAAAAAAATGTATAAAACTTATTCATTCCAACATAACAAACCCAGTACAAAGATAAGCTAATGCTGATATCTAACTGATAATAAAATCAATAAATTCAAAAATCAATTCAAGTACAGAACAGAAAAAATTGCATTACGTGTACCTAATAGCAAACGAGTATTATACAAGTTTATATTAAAAATCATCTTAAAAGTATCGGTTAATTAAACATAAATAATTATAGATTATTCTAAGTAATTTACAAAATTATTATAACTAACAAAAGCTATTGTTATTACTAGATATACCCATATATATAGATATATAGATATATCAGGTACATCTATATCGGTTATACCTACACTTATATAATATATATACATCAGATGTATCGTATATTAATGCGGTATATACTAACATTGAATAAAAGATCGGAACGCTATACAGTAACCTAAAAACACATAATAAATGCGTGTATTTACACTCAAAAATTCCATGGATATTATTCAATAGGACGCGACATTTTATATGAATTAAAAAATGGGGTCGCTTGTAAAAAAAAAGTTTGTTCCATAATTCTTGTGAAATACTCGTTGTTTGTCTTTTATACACAAACAATTCAGAAAATGTAAAAGCCATATCATATTCATGTAAAATGTATACTTAAGGAACATGGACACATGGTCAGTATAATAAATATAACTACAAAATTATTTAATTTATAAAATATCAAAAAATAAGTGTAAAAAAATATAATAAAATAAGTTTTACTTCGCTGTACCAAATTTCAACAAGTTTCTATTTATGTGTGTACAGTTTAAATATCTACTGAAGTAGTATCACTGGATCCCCCTTCCATTAACCATTACGTCATCCAATTTTTTTTAATTCCTCACCAAATTTGTTAATTGTTTTTAATTTTACTAATTTTTAATTTTCATATTTATTTTCAAAAAAAAAAATGAAATCTATTATTTAATAACAATTGGTATTTACTATATAGTCTATAATAGTTTTAGTTTCTTTAATAATACATCGACTGTGATGTAATATTTATTTGTTTAGTGATATTCAACTGATTTTTTGGTAGAAAACCATGGAAATTAAAAATTAATTTGTTTTGTTTAAAACTGATAACGGAATACTAATATTTTTTCCTCGTTGGGTTAAAATTGAAACGCATCATACGAGTGACCTAATTATTAAGCATAAAATAACTTTACAAAATACCATTATGAATTCTCATCATCATTATTATTTATAAATTTTAAACCATGTTAACTTCGAAACTAAGATCACTATTATTTTACGCTTGCCGAGAACAAACACTATATATATTAGAGTACAAAAGAAAACCTACATAAGTCGTATTATTCACATAAGCTCAATATTATAAAAATGGGAATAAAAACTTTTTTTATCTAGGAATACAAAAAACTGAAGACGATGTTTGTGTGAAGGATTTCGTGAAGATGCCTACAGCTCTTAAATCTCAAGGATAACGTCATACGCTATTTTGTTCTGTACGTGGAACAAAAAACAAAGTATATCATAGAGCAATTTGTAATGCTAGTAAAAGGATAGCTATGAATTTTACATGATTATTTAAAATTCAAAAAGCACTATACTATATTGAGCTTATCAATAATAAACGGAAACATTCGGCGTACCGAAACATATTATGATTATATCAAGTTCAACACGCGGTGGGAAGATAATAGGAGTATTATATAGTCAGTATGCGTACCTATAAAATATTATTACAAACATATACACAAAACAGGAATCGAGTGAAATTGTTTTTGATATTAATCGATAATTTATCGAGTGTAATATTATTATAATATATTATATTGGTGCGTATAAACACACTATACCGCAGTGTGGTATGAAGATACGAATGATACGATACACCCCCACATATACTGATAACTGTACTAATATATAATATGTACCTACCATGTATATATGATAGGTATATCGTATAATCTACACCGTATAAGTACCCGCGGATACGTGTTTCCATATTTCGTTTCTGAAGTAAAAAATCTTTTCAACAACGATAAACTTTTTTACGACGCTACTTAGCATAATATAAGGGAACGTGTATTGTCGTCACACGCGATGAAGCTTCGGTTGTATGTACAGTATAGTCAATTTATCCGTGTGTATATTTACATGACGTGTTTTATTACTACCTCAATTCATCCTTAATTCGTACTTTACAACTCTTGAGCATCACCACGGTCCCAGTCCAAAATGTGTAATACTGTACGTAAATATATTATACGTATACGCTCTAGGGCGCGTGCAGTCTCGTCGAAAATTTTAACATTCGTTAAACGGATGGCAATAATACGATTTTTTACAACTTGAAACGGTTCCATCAAGAGTCGTAACGTGTATACATTTGGCAGTGGGTGGAGCGTGGATACTATCCTCCGGTTTTTTTCTTGTATTCACAAGTTTAAATTTAATTTAATTTAAAACAACCCCCCTCCCACGAAAATAACTTCTAATTATGCTAAGATTTAAACACTTTAAGTTAAGTGAATATTTATTATTTACATTTTTTTTTAACACTAAATGAAATATAAAGGTAAAAATAAAGGCAATAGGTAAAAAATAAAAATCCTCTTTGAATACAATCTACCATTACTATACCTAATACATATTATGCCGTCTCCGACTCATAAACATACACGACATACCAAATTTGCATTCAGCAGTTTCAATTTTTTTGTTTTTTTTTTTTTTGTTCAGAATACAAATATATTATTATAATCACTGCTGTAAGCATTATGCATAAACAATAAGTAACATTAGTGATTAGTAAATACATGTATCTAGTACAATAAACATGAAATACTTGCTAAGAAGAACCTTTAGACTTAAGTATAACTTTTCGATCGTAAAATACGATATAAGTACGAAAAAATATTGCCACCGCCTACCGCTAAATATAGTAATAAATCACTATAGGAATATTGTAACTGTGAAAATACCAAAGTTGTCCTACGCTTATGACAGTTCGAAATATCTGTAATAACCCAGTTGAAGTCCAGACAAGAGTGATGGCTGGTGTCTGCTAGTAGTGGTGCTAAAACTATGTAATTTAATTATATAGCATTTACAGTTCCACCACTGAGATGGTTATGGGTAGGTATGATGCGAAAGGGTCCACGAGGCCTCTATAGTTGAGACAAGGTTGAATACATATCGTATATGCTATATGCATATATAATTACCTGTATGTATGCATAATGCATTGTTAACTATTAATCTATAATTATTAACTATTGAAAGGCAAACTTTCCATAATAACTTGTGCAGTTATGCGCCGAAGTTTTAAGGGTCTGACAGGTCGTACACTCATGCCAGCACATCCACTCGGTAATAATAATCACGTGTGGGCATTATAATTATTAATTTATAATAATATCAAATATTATACGACACGAGGCTTAAGTGATATGTAAGTGATCTTAACGTATACTATTGCGATTAATATAAATATTTCGTACAACCTGCAAAACGTCGGCGGTGACGGCCGGCAACTTGTACGGCAGTCCGTATGGGTGTGGGTGTTGAGGCGGCAGTCTGGTGTTGATGGCGCCGGTGCCGAGCATATTCAGTTCAGGCGCGGCGGCCGAGTCTTTGACTTTTAAATTGCTCTTGAATGGTTTTTTGACGGCTGACGACGAGGACGAAGACGACGACGACGTCAGCTCTGTGCCGCCCGCTGTCCGACTCGCCGCAAACATCTGGTGCTGGTGCTGGTCGAGAGCAAACGTAACGCGCTGCGGCCGGCCGAACGAACCACGGCCGCCGGACGACGACGACGATGACGCAGAAACCGGGCGGCCCGCGGCCGTGAATTGGTCCGCTTCGGCCACGGTGACTGAGGCCGGCGGCGGTAGCAGCTCCTCGGCAGACGCGGTCCGCTTGTTGATGAACATTGGCCTGGACGTGGCTTGGTGCTGGCCACAGTTGCACGACGATGACCTGGGTGGTCTGCCGCAGTCGACGCCTCCCAAACCGCCGTTGTGCAGTTGCATGTGGTAAGCTGATGGCGGCGGCGGAGTGGGCGGAAGCCCGGATGGCACGATGCCGGCGTTCTGCAGCTGCTTGGTGCCGGCCGCCTGTAGCTTCTCCTGGATGAACGCTCGCTTGGCACCAAAGTCCGGATCCCGAGCGGCCGCGGCCCGACCGCCTGACTGCATGGTGTGATAGTGATGGTGGTGATGATGGTGGTGCACTGGGTTCCGGCCATCCGCACTCGAACACCGTTTGGTGAACTTTTTGCGCCTGTAGTCGAACGACGGTTCACTCTGTGTCGACTCGACGTCCGTCTGAACACCCGACGGTGGGGCCCACGAGGACCGCACGGACGAGGAGAGCAGAGTCCCGAACCGTGACTCGGTGAGGTTACCAAGCGATTGGCGCCGGCACGCCGCATCAAGCGTGGCCGCCGCCGATGGCAGTATACGTGGACAAGGTTTGGCCACTACGCCAAGCGCCTCGGCCGCGCTGATCTTCCTGCCATCCGACGAAGACTGCTTGTTCTGCTGACTGTTGACGGCCAACAGTGCGGGCGACGAGCACCGGCTGCCGGCCGATGACCGGAACGAAGACCTGGCCGAGTCTTTGGCCGGCGGCGGTGAACTCTTTTTGTCTTGCACGGCGACATCTGCCGGGAGGCTACCACGTTTCTCGGCTGGTGGTGAGGACGTGACCGAAACCGCCTTTATCGCGCTGTCTGAATGGTGTCGGACCTTTTGTGGGTGTACGTTCTTGACCGGTGACTCGATGGTCCGTACCCATATGTCCGCCGCACCATCATCCTCGCCGTCGTCGTCGTCGTCATCGTCGTCGTCGTTATCATCGTCGTCCGTGCTCTCGGCCAACGTGGAAGTGCCCGAGTCCACTTCCACGGGAAGCCTCTGGTCAACGGTCGTGCCGGTGATGACCGCTGACGGTTTGACTGCGCATCCGCTTTCGAACTTGCTGATCAACGCAGAAGCGGACAAGTCTTCGTCCGGTTCCGCGGTCACCGGTGGTAGTATGAGTGGTGGGGGTGGCGGCAGGAGATCAGTGTCTACGTCCGGTACAGCAGCACGTGGTGGAGACGGCGGTGGCGGCGGAGGAGGCGGCGATGGAGCGGTCACCGGCGCCGGTTCCGGTTTCTTGCACACCGGTTCAGCTGCTGCAGATCTCTTAGCCGGCACCGTGGTCAGTCTGGTCTGTTCACCCCTGGGCGGCACCGGAGGTGGTTTCTGTTTGGCGGTCGCTGTCGCTGTCGTCCCCTGCATTGTAGCCGTGGACGTCCTGACCGGTGGCGTCGGGGCGCCACTGTGGCCGCCTCCAGTGCCGGCAAACGTGTGCAAAACGGACGCCGGCACAGGCGTTTGAAGTTGTTGCTGCGGCGGACGGTGGTCGGCGGCGGCGGGCGAGGCCGCCAGATAAGTGAACGGTTTGCCAAACGCCGCGGCCGGCCGCATAGTGTCGAAGGCGACTATACTTCCGGTCGGACGGATCTCGTCGCCAAAAGATCACATAAAAATCTCGCGTCCACTTTCGAACCGACGGACGGACAGACGAGGTCTTCGCGCGCTTGCGGTGGAAGCTCAAAAACGGAAACGCTCACGCACCACAGGAGGAGTTACAACAAAATGTAATGTGCGACTTAAGCGGCGGCGGAAAACGCGTGCGGCGAAAACGTCGACGGTGCACAGTGGTGTGCGCGCCCCTCTCGAGAGAGCCGCCGCGTGCGTTTGCGTGTGTCGTCGCGAACTGGGGACCCGACGCGAGCAGCGCGGACGGCTGTCGAGCGGCGGCGGCGGATCGAACGGCCGACCGTGCGCATGACCGTTGCAAAGGAGCGCGACGTGCCGCTCCGAGGCGGCGGGACGTGCAGGAGGTCCCTCTGTGCGTGCGCGCCGCGGAGGAGTAATACAGCAATTATACCGTGGAAACACCCCGTCCCGCTGCAGTTCGCGTGGTGCCATTATATATATCATACCCGTCGCCCTTCCACGCGGCAGCAGCTTTTCATCTCCGAAAACGCATATTTCCTCCGTGCGAAAAACCTAACCTATAACAACACGTTACGTGCTGTATCACACTATTATTATTATTATTATTATTATTATTATTATTATATATATGTACACTCTTTCGATATCGATCAACTGAATATACATAATGCACGACACGCCACACGCACTGTATATATATATATCACAGCAGCAACAATATAGCGCCGCCAACCGCTGCCACCCCAAAAAATGTCGTTTTTTCAAATATGACGTATACGCGCCCGAGCACTTGTTTTGAAAACGTTTTACGTTGGGTGATGTGTAGCATATTTTTATTGCTATGAGTAATTTTTTTGACGCTGTTGTTGTGATTGTTACTAAAGATTATTACTGTGGTAGGTAGTTGTTAATATCAGTGCTATAACACCTGTTCGAGGTGTATGTGAAGTTCTTCGACTTAAAAGTGTGAACAGCGATATAGCGTTTATTTTCCAATACCATAACTGAATAGTTCTGTAAGTCCATAAAAAGTACAAGATTATTGGCAATATGTACCTATATATATATAATTATTATATATATATATTACAATTAGGTATACTTTATTACTGCTGCTATAAGTTAGTAGTTATTCTTGGAAATTCTGCGTCTCCGTCCCAATTAATTCAGTCAATGTTAAGTAATATTATACTATTTAACGAACTTACATTTCTTTAAGGTTACGTTTTTATTGCATTTGTATTCTTTTTCGTATAGTAGGATATTATGATACCACCCCCCTCAGCGTGCCGTTCCAATTTATTCCAGTTATTATATTGTTATGTCGATGATATTTATTTCACTTTCAATAATTCGATTATTGGTGGACAGTACCTATAGTTATATTGAATTTTGTAGCATCTAAACTTACAAATCATGTAATTAAATTATGGTATTGACATGATATGTACCGTAAGTACCTATATCAATGTCAAAATTTATAATAATTTTCCTCAAATCCTCTAAGTACAATATTATAATTTATAATAATCTTTAATAAGCGTTGGTTTAATATTTACTAATTTATTAAAAATACGGAGAAATAACCCAATAATAAGCAATTACAATAAAAATACATAAAATGTATTTTAAGTCGCGAGAAAGTTACGAGAGCAATACGTTAAATACAAAAATTAAAATATTTACTAGTAAATTTTCATGTAAGTATACTGTATCAGCTTTACTCATAAAATATTATTTGTAAATTTAAAAAAAAAACACAAGTTTAAAAGGAAATTATCAAAAACTAAGACAATGTAGCTAATTTGTTGAAGAAAACAAACTGAAATGTACGACAGGAATAATATAAAATAAATACTTACATTTACAACAACCCAACTAAACCTAATCAGTCTAATTAATATGATGACCACTGAAGAATAATTTCAGTTAATTTAATTTGATTAATAGTATTAAATACTCAAAGGGTAGGTCTTGAATAATATAACGCAATTTCATCCATGTCAAAATGCCTCTAAATTAAGTTGATAGGCAATAACGTTTTACTCGAGTTATAACCACTCAAAATATGCGTAGGTGTACCCACGCAATATGTGGAGAAAACTTAACATAAGTTATTAACTGTAACGAAAATACGTTCATGTAATTTTATGATAATTTAATTACATTTTATTGTACGTAATTGATATGTAATTTAAGTTACTTTTTTTAAGTAAATTTAGCAAATTAATCTTTGATACTTTATTTATTTTTAAATGCTTTTCAAAAACCAATTAACAATACATGTAAATATATCATATAAGAACGACTTTCTAACAGTAACATTTTGGTAATAGCTATTTGACAAAAAGTTATTTTTAATAAGAAATCATTTTAAATTAAGTAGTAATAATTTGAAAAATATATTGTATGCTATATAATTTCACATTTTTGGTTGTCATTTTTTAGTTCATGTATAAATTGTTTTTTGAGCATATTGACAACATAATCATTAAGCTCCTGTGATATTTTTAAAAATTAAAATTATATTTTTTACATATATAAGATATGTTTGATGTAGATTTATAAAAATATAGGATTACGCGTATTCACGATAATACCTTCGACTGAAAGTTAGGTATGCTAATACAAAATATGTAAAATCGAAATTGTAATAGAATGAAAAAAAAATTCTAAAACACCAAAGTTAAATATTAAAAAAAGTTACACAATAAACTTTAAAAGAGCAACTTATTCTAATTTATACCAAAATTTCACTTAACAAATGCCTACTTACTGCAAGACATGACAAAATAGATGGATATTATCACAGTTTTTTGGTACGCATCCTCCGCTCTTTACTTTAACTATATCATAGTTCCCCGCTTCATATTGGCTGTCAAATCGTATACATGCATATATAACATGGAAAAAAATCAACCAATCAGAATGGAAAACTACGACACTGGCCGGAGGTAAAGGAGATGCGCGTACTGATAAAAATAATTTACAATTTTGATGATAAATATCTAGTTTTTCATGCTGCAAAATACAAAAAATGATAAAGTAAAAATATTTCGAAAAAAATAAATAAGTACTATTATTACGTACAAAAGTAAATTATTTGAGTTTCTTAAATGTGTATTTGATACTCAATACTTTAGATAAATTTATTATTTTCATATATAAGCTTTGTACAAACAAGAAAACCGTCATATATAAATTATCAATCGAATCGATCCAACAACTATTTAATGGAAACTATTGTAGTTATTTTTAGCTTTGAAAAGCATGTGTATTTGAATTCCAGATTAGTAAATATTGTTCTCATTACTTACTAAAGTTTAATAAAATGTGTAATCATTTTTATAAGTCTTGTACCATAGTGTAATACATTATTGCAACATTCTTAAGTAATAAGGAGATTTTTGAAAATTATTATGTTTCCCAGATGGCATTTTATAATGATAATATATTATTATTATAACGTTATACTAATATTACATTCGTACTATAATAGTACCTTTCATCATAATACCATGAGGACCGTTTATACAAAATATAATTTTATATAACATAAAGGATTACATCTAAATAAAATTAGGAAATAGGAATACTATTTTAGACATTTTTAATTGGAAACTTTAAGTATTATGATCGTGAATCACGTTTTATACTTTAAAACTAGTTTAGGTATTTTTTTAATAACTGCTAAATTATTTACTTAACGCATCAGTGCGTAGTGGGGTTATTCGAAACTCAGAAGTATACTAATATAAAATTGTGATGAATACATTAGAGCAACAATCATAATTGCTCCAACGAGGTTGGAGCTATTCTAGTACTTTTCCAGCGGAGTGACGGACCCGAAAATAAATTCATAGTGTCCTACGTAGTACGTGGGCGAAATGTTCAGCGAGACATAAACACGTACGCAGGTATCGAACGCGAGCGACAAATTCCGTTCGTACCTTAAAACCCGACTTGTTAAACTCATATAACCGAAAACTCAGCACTAACATGGTTACACAGAGCTAAGGACAAAAATTCAAAATTTATATGTTGGTCACCGTCACTCTTACTAGCTAATTTAGATTTTAGTACGATATATGTCTCGGCAAAACATAGCGAAGCACCGGATTTGCTATCACTCGACAATATGGCTAGTGCGGACGCTTCAGACTCGCTTATCGCGGTCAGAACGCGAGTGGGGTTATAACTCACTAAATTTTGCCGAGTGGCCATATAAACGTTTCAGTGAAAACTTTTCGAACACGTCCATCTGCGAATACCACAGTGAGATTCTATAAACCTGCGGTCTTCCGCACGCCGCCGGCAACCGCTGTCCATCCAACCACTGTCATTATATAATATGTATATAATATACATACAAATATACAGAGAACTAGTGGTGAGTGGGTAACCGCGGTATTTTTCCTTGAATAAAATCTATTATAAAAACGGTCACCGCCGTCCGTCGTTCGAATCACTATGAAATATGATGAATTTCGATCATAGCACCCATGAGTGCGAAAAATATATTATAATATTGATGATATGCAGTCTGTTGACATTTCAACGATACAACCATAGTATACGAGTATAGACTTGAATGGCCCACCATATATATCATCCCCCCTCCATCGATCCGGCATGCCACTTTTTTTGCTGAAAAATGTGACTAAACAAATTCAATTTAACAGTTGATTATCTATGAATACTGCAGCTAATAATGGTATATACTAGTATAATTGGTCAGTTAATGGCCTGAAAATTGGAACATTTTGGAAAATGTAATTATAATAGTTTTTCCACTGAAGGTTATTGCAAAGCTGAAAGCGTAGGTAGGTAATAGAAATTTGCAACTTTTCACTTAGGTATGTGATAAAAGTAGATAATATATGGGTAATGGGTTGTATGTATGTACATGGCATTTTATAAAGATATTTTAATCAAGCAACTGTAATGTTTACTATATAGGAACTTACCTAACGTTGATAAAATGGGGTTCAAACATTATACAATAAAATTGTATAAATGTTTAATATAATATATTATATCTTTGACCAAAATTCCGTCTCAAATGTTCCTTTGTACATTTTGTTGTAGCAACACATTAATGCAACCGTTTCATGAACGTCTGCTATTTGTTATCATCAGATGAAATTGATAGTGATCTGTTCAAACGTCAGTAACCACGCGTTTATTTCACTGTATAGAAATAATTTAAAATATGTAATATATTCAGGATAGTTTATTTGATCACCAACACGTGATTAA